ATAGTTTATGGTAATATTACACCTCTTGCGAAAGCGGGTGTGATCCCAGACGTTCAGGGGCCACAGGCCACCGAGACTCACAGGATCTGTGCCGTAGGGTGGAATTTGCTTCGTTCACGAGGACAAGTTTCGGATTTACGCTCTCACAACTCGGACAAGTTTCGGATTTAGGGCAAAGACTTAGTGCTGCTAGATGCTACGCAATCCCACACCGCTGATCTACGCTCCCACGTTCTGCCAGCACTGGCCGAGGTGCCGTCCCCAAGCTTGTCCAGGACAGCAGCCAGAACCTCGCAGCTTTGGTAATTGCTGCCTTGTTCTGGACAGACACATTAAGTTTCGTGCCCAGCATAGATGGCGGAGCCAGGCCGATTCTAGTGTAAGTTACGGTTCACTGCCTCCGTCATTCCTACGAACTCGAGGGAGCCAACGCTGCCCCATGAGGATGATGAACCCGAGGCCCCTTGCGGATCACTGCTTTGGAACCTTTGGCCTTCGTCGGCAGTCTAGATGTCGGCTCACTCTCAAGATGGGCTCCCGCGAAGCTCTTTGCCAAATTTCTGGACCGGGCCCAGGGTTTGGCAATCAAATCACCCTTTTTTCCACAGGCAATCAAATCACCCTAAACCCTAAACCCTAAATCCTAAACCCTAAACCGACGTCCCCCGCCTTGGGGTGGCCTGCAGCATGTGCAGCCAGGGACTCCACTGCGACGCGCCTCGCCTCAAGGATCTTCTGTAGAAAAGGGCATTTCAGGGTTTAGGGGTTCAGGCTTTAGGGGTTCAGAGTTTTGGGGTTCAGGGCTTATAGGGTTTAGGGTTTAAGGTTTAGGGTTTAGGGTTTAGGGGGTCAGGAGGAAGTTTCGCAGAAGCATCGTTAGGCTCTGAGTCAATCCAGTTGCCGCCCATGCTGAAACCTGCTGTGACCTTCCCTTCGAGTCCTTGCCATCGCCATGATCATCCCTACCCTAAACCCTAAACCCTAAACCCTAAACCCTAAACCCTAAACCCTAAACCCTAAACCCTACCCGGCAGGCCGCAGGCCGCCGAGTTGGAAGTGCCCCGTCCCAGTCACATCGGGACTGTTCTCCTCCAAGCGTGCAGTGACGGCCTTCCAAGCTGCGGCAGCAACGGCGGCATCTTCGTCCTTTCAGGTCGAGAGTCCAGGCAGAGTTTAGAGTTCTTTTCCCTCCCACCGGGGGTTAGCGCTTAGTTCCAAAAACAACTGCAGTGCAAAATAAGCCCCTAGACCATGAACACACCCTCGTTTGCTCGCAGGTGGCTTACACGGTTAAGTTCTGAAATCAAAGGTTACCGCCAGTCCTTGCCCTCGTCGCCTGCTGCTAGAAGGGCCCTTCCCATATCCGTCCCAACCCCAAACTGGCAGAGAAAGTTGGATAAGCTGCTAGAAGTCTCAAGACCTTGGCAACCGGACCCTGAGCCCGCAGGTCATACATGTCGCAGCGGTCGTAGGCCATTTGACACCCCAGCAAAGGTCCTCAATCCGGGCCGCAAGCACGGCAGCAGCCTTTAGAGTTCAAGCTAGGGCTTCGGCTTTGGACTTTAGGGTTTCGGATTTTTGTTTTGGTTTAGGGTTTAGGTTTTTTTTTCGGTTTAGGGTTTGCGCTCTCACAACTCGGACTAGCCAGGCGAGGTCCATGGTTCGAGGTCGGCGTGAAACAGGAAACAGGAATCCCTCAGAAGGGTTTGGGGTTTAGGGTTTAGGGCTTCGGGTTTGGACTTTAGGGTGGAATAATCCCAGGAGCAGAAACAGGTACTTACCTCACGCTTGGGCAAGTAACTACGCTGTGTGCTGAGGAGGAAGTTGAACGGCTCAGTTCTGAGAGGCTCTTGGAAGGACTTCTGCAAAAAAGAGGTGTCGACACCGTCAAAAGAAGGCCACGAGGACACATGAGGGAACACTCCCGGCAACCATAAACCTCTTGTGAACCCCAGAAAGTTGGAAGATGGACTTGTGATGATTACTGCTGGAACTCCCTATGCTTTACCTGAAGGGCATGATAACAATAATATACCAACTTTCTGGCTTCAGACTGTGAAAGGACCGGTCTACGTGGAGCAGACGCCTTCCCATCCATTTTGTCGGCCAGCTGATGCACTGCGTCCACAGCTGCGAGACGCACCTGCCCATGACAGAGCGAAACATTGGCCAAGATACCACCCTACAACAATCGAACTGTGGCCTGGATATCGAGTATGCTCTGACTTGCTTCCTGCATGTTGGGCCCTACGTTCTGTGCCGTTCCCTGGGTCTTCAGCTGTGGTGTCGGTTTAGTTATGCACCGTCGTCGATACGCGATACACGATGCGACACCTTCGATGTTGTGTGCGTAGGCGTAGAGCGGAGGCCGCTTGAGGTCCGACAGTGTATTGGTTGGAGCAGGCAAGTAGAAACTCATCCCACGTGAGACATCTTCTAGAACTGTGGTGACTGAGCCTGGTCGACGAATTGAGTATTGCCGTTTGGGATTCACTGGCCTTTCCTTTCGGCAACATTGCTGTGGCGTGATTTAGTAATTTAGCGTGTGGGAGATACGTTTCATTCGTTCAGCTTATTCTTGGCCACCAGTATGGCAGAAGCTTTATGTATGCAAGCCTGCAACCACAAACTGGCACTTGCCAAGCCCTCCGCGCAGGCCTGTGGGTTGGCTGAGTCCAGGTAGGTGTGCATGATGTCCCCCATGGCCAGACGTAACCACCAGTTCGATATCTCAGCTGCAGCGACAATGGCCTTGGTGGTCGATGATTTTGGCAGGAGCCCTAAACCCTAAACCCTAAACCCTTTTGCAACAGGCTTTCCACTTCGCCCGGAGTTGAAACCCTAAACCTTAAACCTTAAACCCTAAACCCTAAACCCCGCAGCGATCCTGGGTCGGCTTCGACTTTAAGCTTTCTCTACTCATGGCCTTGTTCCAGTCCACCGTACCGCATCTCGGAACTCCGCAAGGTCGAGCCCGGGTTCGGCGCTAAGGGTTTATGGGCCCTCTTTTAGGGCTTAAGGGCTTAAGGGTTTTGGGGCTTTAGGGCTTAAGGGTTTAAGGGTTTAGGGTTTATGGGCCCTTTCGCCTCCTGCTACCCCCTTGGTACTTGGAGGTTCATGGCTAGTTAGAAGTGGGGTTATAAGTAAGGCAACTATAGTTATAACCCATATTGGGGGACTTATAACCCTACTTATAACTACCCATGAACCTCCAAGTACCCCTTGGTAAGGTGAAGATTCAGGCCCTTCTTGCACTTTCTTCACTGGGACGCAGAGAGTTTGGGTTCCGGTCGCGAAACCTACTATGCGGCAGGCCGACTCACAACCTTTATATGCCCCTTATATAGCCTCATAAAGCCATCCTACGTCGTCCTACGCCCTAGACGTGCCCGATAATCTGTATGCCCAGCATCACTGTACTCTTGTGTAGCTATCAATACTCCCAGTCCTGGACTAGCGCAATGATCTAGTATCAGTTTTTCCCTCTCGCATGGCTGAGGAACTATGCCCACCAGCGAGGTTGTACAGAAGCTTCAGAAGCCGGGGACTGTCTAGTACCAGTAATTACTACTCATTACTACAATGACTGTGCTCCTTGCATGTGCTGCGACTAACATTGGTTGCAACTACTGCTGTCGCTGTTCCCAGTAGTTCTTGTGCCTTCGGCTCTGCCCTCACCTACCTCCGCATCTTGTTCCTTCTAACTCTTTCTATGATCATCACTCTACACTGCTGAAGCCTGAACCCGAAAACCTGGCCTTAACCCTAAACCCTCAACCCTAGACTCCAACCAAAAGCCTGAGCCCCGAACTCTATAAGCCCTACACTGCTACTTGGGGGTTCATGGGTAGTTATAAGTATGGTTCGAAGTTCCCTAATATGGGTTATAACTATAGATACCTTACTTATAACCCCACTTATAACTACCCATGAACCCCAACACCCTAAACCCTGAACCCAAAATCCTAAACCCTAAACCCAACTTATAACTACCCCTGAATCTCCAAGTAGACCCCTTCCGCCGCCAGGAAACGCGGAGACGCTCGGCCGCCAGAGGCTCCAGAAGGGAGCGCAGGGAGACGACTAGACGACTCTGGGTCGCGGCATCCTCGCGCGTTCTGTGGCACGGTTGATCACATAAATCCTGCATGACCCATAAAAAGGAATAGTTTAGGTTCCTTAAGGTGATGCAGGATTAAAATCATCAACAGTATGTACGGGAAAAGGGCTGAGGGTTTAGGGCTTTGTTTAGGTTTGAGGGTTTCCCGTAGCAGATAGATCGATAGATAGATAGATAGATAGATAGGTATGTATGTGTGTATGTATGAGTTGATTCTGATGACTATCAGTGTATATATGTAGATATAGTTATGCATTTGGCTCAAGACAGTCCAGGCCCTGAGCCCAGGAAAGGTCTGCAAGCACTGCAGCGCAAGCACCTGGAGCTCGCGAGGCAGAAGTTTTGGTGTTTTTGCGGTTTAAGGTTTAGGGTGTGGGATGCAGGGTTTAGGGTTTTGGGGCTTAGGGTGTCGGGTTTAGGGTTTGATTAGGGCCGTTTGGGGTTCAGGGGGGGTTTCTTGGTTCGCACCAAGCCAGTAGCTTCAACGGAAGTCTCGGCGCTCAATGCAACACAACCATGGAGTGTAGGCAAAGGCTTTAGGGGGGACTAGGCCTGCTCTTCGGCTAGCCCAAACTGGTCGGCTTGAAGCAATTCTGGCTTGGGCGAAGATTATCCCCCACGTCTTCATTTTGCAAACCGGCTGCCTGCAAAGATCGGTGCCTTTGTGAAAGCAAAGGGGCCTTGCGCTCTTGGAGCCTGGCTGTACAATCTGTGGACCCTGCCCGGGTTGTTCCAGGCTCTCGGAGTGATCGCTGCGTGCTCTGGAATGCTAGGACTGCTAGGACGTGAACCTTGTAGCCCAAGCTAAATGAGGCCAAATGCTAAAACCGAAGACCCCGACACACTAGACCCCAAACCCGAAACCCTTCCAAGCCCTCGATCAGAACTTGAGCTTCAGTTCGATCTTCTTCTCTGCCAGGGGCGTTCGCGAGACGCCTCCCGCCTGGGAAGGGTCTGCACGGCCAGCTGTCATGTGGGCTCTCATGAGGTCCTGCACCGTGCGCTGGCTGTCCTGGGATGCTAACTTCTTAGGAAAAGGCAGACAAAGTGGGTTTCCTTATTGTGGCATTATGGTAGCTTAAGTTGCAGGGCTTAAGCTCTGAAAGGAACCCAGTTTCCGCAGGAAGCGCCCCAACTTCTGTCTTCAGCACGGCCTGGTCGATCTGTGCGACCTGCATCAGGCACCTTGCCATGGCAGCAGTGGCGGGAGCTCCAGGTGGCAGCTTTGAGTAGCTGGCGACTGCACTGACCAGCTGCAGGATCAGCTGCGTCGTCGCTCTAACGAGCTCCTGGATCTTGGCCTGATGTTGTGCGGCGAGCATCGCTGGGAGAGCACCCCATGCAGTCTCCGCGACCGCCGGTGGGAATTCTGGCGAAGCCATGGCTGAGACAAGCCCAGGCACGATGATCATGCACAAGCCGGTGCAGGCAGAGTTCTGCAGCAGGTTCTGCGCGGAGGAGATGGCTGCTTGTGCCACCTTCACACTGGGATGGGACCATCCCATGTCAAAAAGGGTCTTCAGCAGCAACAGGCATCTCTGCACGGTGGCCTCTGCACGCTCCCGAACCGTGCCACTGGTGGCCAGGGGCTCATCGCCCGTCGCTGACTCATCTTCAGGCAACTCCTTGCAGCACTGCCGCACTGATGCCATGGCCGTCACGGCTGGAACCAAGGTGGCAAAGGCGTACACCAGGTTTCGTTCTTCGGCTTCATCGAGCGGCTTGAGATTAGCTTTGAGCTTCTCAATCAGGGATCTGGTCATCTTGCAGGAGATCATGGCAAGGTAGAAGAGCTGCTCGTGAGCCCGAGGAGACGGCGACTCGGGAAGCGTCGCAAGCAGCCCGCAAACCTGCTTCCAGTACTTCAGGGTCGTGGCGGGATCATGCTGGACCAAGCGCTCCGGGAATGGCGAGAAGAAGAGCAGCCACAGCCAGGGACTGGTGCCCGCCGTGCTGGCAGCTTCGGCGCCCTTCACTGCCAGAGCGGTGCTTTCCTCCGGAGAGGTCTCCGCCAGTGCCGCGACCATCAAGTCATCCTCTGCAGCCTCAGCGAGTTCGTTCAGGTCTGCCTCGAGGCTCCTGGGAAGCGCATCACGGAGCCACCAATGCAGAACCTCGGTTCTTGCTAACAGAATTGATTTTAAATTACCACAATAAGGAAACCATATTATTTACCATGGATCCCTATTATGGTAACTTAAATTAAGTCCCTTAAGAAGAACCCAGGAACCTCCAAGGCTTTCGGGAGCTGACTGGACATAGCTTCCGGGGAGTTCATGGCTGCGGAGACGATATGAAAAGCGTAGGCGCCCAGCGTGGCCCGAGCCTGTGCGCCTTCCGCAGACTCGGCGGAGAGAGCATCGAGCCAGGAGGCCTCCGATTCGGAGTCCCTAGTGGGAGAGCTCTGCCTCCGGTCCCAAAGAGCTCCTGAGATGACGTGAATCAATTCCAGGAGGTCGAGCAAAAGAGGGCGACGCTTCGAGGGCTCGAGGAAGAGGTACCTCCAGACGCAACCCATCACGTCCAAGAAGGTCGCTAGGTTCACTAGGGTCTCCTGGCCGGTTCCACTGGCCTGAGCTTCTTTTGGCAACAATATCTCTATTCACTCTTTAGACAAAACTAGGCTAGAATCGTAGATTAGTGACTAGTGTGCAAGAGCAGCCAAGTAACAGATACTGCAAGGATGTGGCGTATGGTCCGGACAAACACCCGAAGGTCAGCGATTGGCTCGTCCAAGTCCGATGCCGCCATCAGCGTCACCACAATGCCGAGGGCCAGCGATGTCAGCTCCTTGTTAAGGACCCAAGATGGCGATGCCGTCGGAGAAGACCTCGATCCCTGTGGAACATCTGCACACAACGCACAAACTCCACGCAGCAGGGAGGGCAACGCTGCGCGAAACAGGGGCTGGATGGCTTTGCAATCGGCGAAGTTGAAGCAGGCTGGCTGGTATGTCTTCACGTTCTGCAGCGGAAGTCCTGCCAGAAGCACAGCGCCGTCACGCAAGGCCAGTTCGATCCAGCGGGCGAGGTCCTTGGCATAGGAGCGCAGCGCCACCTGCTCCGACTGCGAAGAGTCCAAGACTGCAGCTGCGCAGCGGAGCCGGAAGAGGAACGATCCCGTGGAAGCTGCTTCCGAAAAGAGGGGATCCGGCTCGAAAGCGGGGCTGGCGAAGGGCTGCATCAGAAGCGCAATCAATCGCTGGGAGGACGTGCATGCTCTCACGGCAATCACATCACGCAGCAATTCCAGCGCAAGCCGCATGACCGAGGGGTTCGCAGAGGCCCGCAGGTTATGCCGGATGCAAGTCGTGACCTGTGCCTCGAACTGAACCAAAAGGAGTGGGCAGTCCACGCCTTCGATCTGACCCTGGACGTCCTTGGTGTGCTGGAACCTCTGGATGATCAGGAGCATGAGGCGAAGGCCGGCGGCGGAGAGCGAAGCCTCGTCGGAGCTTGCAGCGTTCACTGCGACGCCAACCAAGAGCTCCAGGTGGGTCATGAAGCGCTTCTCCACCGGAAGCTGCGAACTGTGAGCCGGGCTGCTTGTCTCCGGCTGAAAATGATCGGGATCCCCTGCGGGGACCATATCAAGGAGTTGGTGGAGGCACGACACGGCAAAAACTTTTGTTGCGATGCGGCTGCTCTGCTTCCCACCAGACTCCTGCTTCGGCCCCGCCATCGCTGCCTCGTCATCGATCTCGTCGGCATTTCGATCCTCACTGCCCTTGCGCCCAGCGGCGGAAGCCCCGGATTCTTCCTTGGTGCTTACAGCGATGGCGCCCTTGGGCGGCAGAGCCAAGACGACCTGGCGAAGAGCCTGGAGCCACGTTGGAAGCTCGTGGAGCCCATGCACCTGGAGCATAGAGGAGATGAGAGCTTCAAAAGCTTCTGCCTCCGCGCCCTTCGAGGCATCAAGAAGGCGGAAGAGCCTGGTCCGGTCTCGGAAGAGGCTGCCCAGATCGCAGCCCTTAGTCGTGGCCAGTTGCCATAGGCACTGGGCGGCGTGGGTGCGGACACAGCACACCTTCGGGTTCGTCTCGTTGTCAGAGAGCTTGCCAGCTGCCATCGCTAAGAGACTGCTGGGCGGAACGATCCTTGTGAGATAGGGCGCCGTCGACAAGCTGACAACCTCTGCCCGTATCATGGCGAAAGCATTTCCGCAGCTGGGTTCCAGATACTCCACATGCCGGAAGACACGCCAGATGCCGGCTAGCAGGTGCTCTTCCCGGGAGTCCACATCCCCTTCGCTCTTGGACATGGCCACGGCGGCGGAGTGTGTAAGCTCGGAGACGACCCAGAGCACCAGCGGCGCCTCAAAAAAGTCTGCAAGAAGATGTGCCGTGGCCAGGCGCAGGGAGTCTTTCATGAAGGGCATGAAAGCACCTCTGGCAGCCTGCATGCCCAGATGCAAGGAATAAAGCATCCACAAGCGCACCGGCTGGGCTGTCTCCTTCGCCAGCTTCAACAAAGCTGGCACGATGTTCATGATGTAGGGGCAGTGGAAGCCACCAACGCTGTGATCTCCCGCAGGGCTCAAAACCTTAAGGACCAAAAGACCCTCAAAAGTAAAGGCCCTATTGTATCCTTATACTATGAATCCCCATACGGTATATGAACCTTAAACCCTTTTAGGTTCATTTCGTCTTTAAGGAACTCTCCAGCCCCAGGAGAAGCATCGGAGCACACAGCCACATAGCAGCGCCAGAGCGGAACGCTCCCGAAGTTTCTCCTCCTGTGCTCTGCTCTGCTGTACTCTACTCTGCTGTGCTACACGATGTTATACTATGCAAAACTAATTTGGCACTATGCCAATGTTATACTAGGCTATACTTTATTTTGCTTTAGAGTACGGCATGCTACTATACTGCACTATAATATACTATACTCTACTCTACCATACTACACCATGTCCTTGGAGTCCGATCCGGGGCTCTCCGAGAGCTGCTGGAGGATGTTGGGCACGATCGGGGAGTCTGCGAGCTGATGATGCACGAAGAAGAGCAACGCGAGGATCTCGGCATGTAATCGCCGAAGGAGCGGATTGCTTTCCTGGAATTGTTCCAAAAATAGGGGGACCCTAATAGAGGACCCTAAATAGTTATAAGGAGCCCAAAGTATGGTACCCTAATTTTCGGAAAGTCCCTCCTTGAGCCCGGACAGAGAGGATTGAAGTACCTGCTCCATCGCCGGGGCAGGCGGCGCTGCCTGCAGTCCACGCATCCGCACGTGCTCGCGAAGGTAGGCCAAAACCGCCACGGAAGACGATACGTGCACCTCCGGCTGCGGTGAGGTTGTTGAGCCGCCCTCTTCCGCGGCATCCCGCCGAACTTTGAGCAAGTGTTGAAGAACAGCAGCCCGCGGATTCTCTCCCACCTCCGCCGCGTTCATGATGATGGCCAGGAGCTTCACGGAGCTACACCGCCAGTCCCACTCCGCAGAGACGCACTGTGGGGCCAGAGGCTCTCGACAATCGCACCAGGCATCCCAGGGCGTCAGAAGGCACTCGGGCGCCCCGGGGCTCTCGCGGTGGAGCGGGCTGAAGAGGCACGCAGCCCCGCCATCGGAGCACTGGTCCTCAGCGAATGGCCCGGCATCCTCACGGAAGCTTCCTGCATCGGCACCTTCGTTGCCCCAGCTCATAAGCCGAAAAATCGTTAGCGATAGGTAGTTTTTGAGCCACTTCTTAGCGCTCCACACATATATATATATATCCCTATCTATCTATCTATCATCCGACCGATAGTTCAAAGCTTACAGACTCAGCCACTAAGGCACCCTTCCGCAAGACCGAGAGAAGCCGATCCACCCCCAGGCGGGTGGTGGTGGCGCACTCCCGGCTGGTCTCGAGGTGGACATCCACCAAGTCCAAGACAATGTCAGAGCGGTGCAGAAAATGAGACACCAACTCGGTGAAGGGGTAGTCCGAAGGCAAAGTCCTGGCCACATCGTCGGCGAGCATGTTGAGCAACGGAACAAAGCGCGAAGAGTACAGGGAAGGCTGCATGGCTGCGAAAGTTCGATACATCGTGGCCCTGATCGAGAGGAGAATCTCAGGGATGTTGCAGTTTGCAGACATGGTGATGATCGGCCTCATCCCTGCCGGACCGCTCGCCTCCCGCGCGTACTTGGCGCGAAAGCTGCTGGAGCTGGGATGCGGCAGGGCCACCACCAGCTGCGAAATGTTTGTGAGGAACACCACCAAGATCTTGTGGAGGTGAGGCAACGAGGTCAGCAGCGTGTCCCTCGAGTGCCAGGTGAAGGCGTACAAGGAGCGCAGGGCAAAGAGAAGCGAGAGCAGCTCGTCACGGCAAACGTTGGCACTAAGGTCAGTTGACACATCCTTCTTAGACTGGCTGGCAGACACATGCTCCTGGTAGACCACCTTGGCACGGTCAACCGGCTTCTTGCCCAACGCGGACTTCCACAGAGCGAAGAGCGTTGTCAGGCGTTGCCCAACCCAGTCCGAGCCTAAGCACATCAGGCCCTCAAGGAGCAGGAAGGCACAGCATCGCCGCTGTGCACTGACTGCTGGGCTGGGATGAGGCTGGAGGAGGGCTCCAGATGTGCCCAAAACTGCCGAAGTCACATCATGCGGCACCCCAAGCTCACTGCTGTAGAGTTCACTACTCATAGCGGCAAGTGCTGCACAGTGGCCGAAGAGGCCCCGGATGAGAGGTTGAAGGTCAGCATGAGCCGCGGCAGCAGCCACCGCGGTGTTGCCTGCCACCATCTGGCCATTCGCATCCCGGCGCCGAAGGGGTGTGCCCAGTACTTCGGCATTCTGCACAGTGGAAAGGTTCAGCAACACGCTTAACAACTGGAAGAGCTGCGGCGGTGACCCACGACCGATGCAGCGAAGGCAGTAGACGGCCTGCAGTTGTACCATGGCCTGCGGGTAGTTCCCGACGATGTGCAGCAGTGGCTTGGTCACCTTTGTCTCGATGCTGCGGAAGGCCTCACCGGAAGCCACGCAAGCTCCGCACAACGTCTCCAGGACCACCAGCATGCGCATGTCGGTGCCCCGAGACGTCTCGTTGAACTGGGCGGACACCACAGGAAGAAGCCCTTGCTCCACAAAGTCGTTCAAGCAGCCCTCTCTCTCTGCAAGGCGCAGCAAACGATGGAGTGCCATGGAGATCTGCCTGGCCACCTGCATCAAAGTCTCCTCGTCGCTTTGGCCGGAGCTTCCTTGAGGTTGTCGCATGGAGCCCTTGTGAGTCCCACCTGGCATGTCTAGAGCATTCGGCAAGGCACGGACAACCAGGGAGAGGCTGGCAGCATCTGAAACTCCTTGCGCTTCCGCCAGAAGCACCACTGCTAGGCAGACGGAGGAGCGGAAGCCCACAGCCACCGCACCAGCCCCTGGTCCTTTGTGAATCGCCTGCTCCAGAAAGTCCACGGCAGAAGCAAAGTCTGTTACAGGGGGCTTCTTCTTCGGCCGGTCCGGCGCCGCCGCAGCCGCCGGCGAGCCCATGGCGGCGAGGACCTTCGCAAGAGCCGCAGTAAAGGCGAAGCGGTTCTCCGAGCAATGCGAGGTGAGCAGCCCGGGAGGATCCTCGGTCGCCAGGGTCTTGAGACACGCCAGCGCCATGGCCTCGCCGTTTGCACCAGCACAGATTGGGCACACCGTGGTCAGGGTGGACAGTGCCTGTGCTGCCACCGTGCGGACCGTGAGTGCCTTGTCGGGCATCATCTTCTGGAGGAGCTTCCAGATGTTACCGGCTGTGCTCAGATGCCTTATGCCGCCGTATGACATCATCTTGCACAGGACATGAAGAGCCGAGCATCTCGCGCTGGCCTCGTTCATCTTGGTGTGCTTGGCAATCACTATGACAAGGTCATTGGAGAAGTTCTCTAAGGCAGGACCATGCTGAACCATGAGCTGGCCCAGAATATCCAGAGCTGCCACTTTTGTGTCGCTAATCTTGTCGGAGCTACCCTTCTTGTTGGAATCTCCGGTCAGCTTCAGCAAGCGAGCCACGTAATTCGGGAGCGCCCCGCTGTCGCCGAAAAGCCCGAAGATGATGTTCAGCACCGAAACCACCATGCGCCGCAAGGGATCCGTCGCATTTTGCGACAGGATCCTCTCGCACAGGTCTTCTATGCGCAGCCGCGCCTCTGCCACCTCCGGCTTTGGGACTGCAGGGAGAAGGTCCTCAAGCTGAGACAAGGCCTCAGTTCTTGGTAATTCACGTACTTTAGGTAACCATGGCAGGGATAGAGCTTGAACAAATCTACTTAGAATCGGTTTCCGTTTTGACCCCAAAAGGCTTCCAGCTTCCGCGCATTGGTGATTCCACCATTTTCGGCATCGCCGATTGCAGACTCCAAATGCTTCAGACAATCTGCGAACGCCTGGTTGCCGACACTGGCCGTACTCGACATGGGAAGAGCCGCCGGTGTGGCTGTCAACTGGTCTTACAATTAGCAACGGAAGATGTGTAGTTTTGAGTTGTATCTGAATGTGTTTACGTGCGACACTGAGGTTTGGTGTATGATTATGGGAGACCCGCTCCCACGACATAGGATTGCAAAAATGCTTCCACACCCGCATTTCGTGGAATCCTTGAGCCGCAGCCCTGCCGCAAGGGGATTCAAACGTAAGAGTATACACTTATGCATACAAAAGTGTGGTTGTAAATGTATGTATATACATACCTACATACATACATACACACATACATACATGCATACATACATACATACGTACATACATACATGCATGCATGGATACACACATACACACATGCGTACATCCGTACATGCATAAATGCATACATGCATACATGCATACATACATTTTCAGTATGCATACATACGTACATACATACAGACCTACCTACCTACCTACGTACGTACGTACATACATACATACATACATACATACATACATACGTACATGCATACATGCATGCATGCATACTGCATACATGCATACACGCTTACATGCATACATACATGTGTGCATGCGTGCATTCGTGCATGCGTGCATGCGTGTACGTATGTAGGCATGCTGTATGTATGTGTATGTGTATGTGTATTTGTGTATGTATGTGTGTATGCGTGTGTATGTGTGTATATGTGTGTGTGTGTGTGTTTGTTTGTTTGTTCGTTTGTTTGTTTGTTTGCTTGTTTGTTTGTCTGTTTGTTTGTTGGTGCGTTCTTGTGTGTGTGTGTTTTTGTTTTTGTATGCTCTTGCGTTTGTTGTGTGTCTGAGTGTCTGCGCGTCCGTCTGTCTGTGTGTTTGTGTGTTTGTGTCTGTTGTGTGTCTGTGTGTGTGCGTGTGTGTCTGTGTTTTGTCTGTCTTCCTGCCTGTCCCTGTCTGCTTTGTCCCTCTCTTTTGTCTCTGTCTGTCTCTGTCCCTCGCCGGCTGTCTCTGTCTGTCTGTCCGTCCGTCTACCTGCACACATAGAATCAGCACATTGAGACGAGCACCGATATCCAAATGAGGCATCAACGACCATGCTGCTTCCCGCACATCGGGGTGCCCGTCCTTAGACTCCCCCAAGGGTGAAAGTGCCGAAAGACATGCGCATGCCGATGCAAGCAACGGGCCTCGAAAAAAAGACGAGGCATCGTTAAACTGGTGAAAGAGATTAACATACAGGTTAAAAAGATGAAGCGGGCAGTCGTCAATGTTGCCAGCCGTGAGCATGCCTCCAAAGTTCCAAAGCAAAGTGCAAAGAACCCGTTTGTGGACTCGCCTCAAACCGACAACCCCTCAACGCTGGCAGGCATTCGGACTTGCTTCCCACACCGGTAAATATTAACAACCAACAGACACCAACACAAGTGTGGCCACCACACCAGCAAACTCCTGCCGAAGCTCTAGGCCTTCCACGTGCGAAAACACTTTGTAGAGAGTCTTCCAAAGCCCCAGCCTCAAACAAACAAGATTCTAGACACTAACCGTTCTAACCTATCAAAGCCCTGAACTAGCTATAAAAACCCAAAGCCCCAACACAGCCAAACGAAGACCTGGAAAAAGAAGGAGGAGCAACTGTTCTTGACCAAGCCGCGGCCAAGGCTTTGCTCAGCGTCTTCCGGAACCGATTATCGACCTCGCCAGGGCTAGCTCCGTCTCTTCCCGACCGCGGAGGTTTCAGTACTCAGAAGTGGGACAATACGGCCAGATTGACCGACCGACAAAGCACCCAAAAGAAACATGAAAGTGTCAAAGACATGCGTGGAAAAAATTCCCGATACCACAACTCTTTCACACCTCGTTCAGCACATCAAGTAGAAGTCTCGGCCCCCTTTGTTGTTGTTTCCTTGCGCTGCTCTTCCTCCGTGCCAACTACATGGGGAACGGCACCCCGCCTGAGTTCCTCGAGGAAGTCACAGAAAAGCCGAGCACAATTTAGTTTGGGCTTCGCGTCCCGGCACACCGTTATGTGAAGAAAGCCTATGCGAACTTCTTAGAATTCGATGCTCACGATTCCTGCCCGCCCACATGTCTGTACCGCAACCTGAGCCTGGCAACGAGGGTTTTCTGCTCCGGAGCCCCAAACCCTGAGCCCCCTGTCCAGGGAGCACTTAATGGGAGTAGCCCTTATAGTCTCACTTATGGAAATCTTATAGCATCCCTTCTAGTAGCCCTAGGCAACCCTCGTGATGTTTACGACCCTAAACCCTAAACCGTGTTTGTGACCCTTAGAACGGCCTTCACCTGCAGCTTCTGCAAGCACCGGAGCGCTGCTGCTTTCACCCCCGGGTCCGAGTCCTCTTCATGGCTTTTTAGGCTTTGGGGGTATAGGGTTTTGGCGTTTTTGGGGTATGCAGGGCTTCGGGTTTTTTGCCCTCACACTTAGCAAGGACGAGTCCGCATTGCAGGGTTGGTTCAGGACAGACTGTGGACTACAGGCTTCGGGGTTTTTTCCCCTCCCACTTAGCAAGGCTTCGGGTTTAGGGTTGGGGGTTTAGGGTTTAGGGGCCGCCAGCGCGAAAGGAAGCTCGAGAGGATTGTTTGGAGCTGAGGATTTAAGCAAGGTTTTGGGGATGTAAGGGTTTAGGGTTTAGGGTTTTTTTTCACCGGTTTAGGTAGGTAGGGTTTAGGGCTTTCAAGGCTTCAGAGAAGCAGGGCTTGAGAGGGCTCAGCTGGACATAAAGCCTGCTCGGCTTTCATCTCTGGATAGGGTGTAGGGTTTAGGGTTTATTTAGGGTTTAGGGTTTAGGGAGGCTTCAGATGGCAGGCGCCCTCCACTTTAGGACTTCGACTCTCGCAACTCGCACAGGGCACGCAAACATGTAGGCTCCGGAGTTTGCGCCTGCTGCTTTGTGGCTGCTCGGATTGCCCTAGGAGCCCAACTTCAAGCCTATTGTACGGCACCCTTCTAAAAAGGACCCTAAAAGGGATCCTAATTTGGAGAACTCCCCAAGAGGCCTTGAGAGTCTTTGGAGTGTTGGCAGGACACGTGGCAGGGTGCAGGGATTTCGGAGGCAGGGCATATTAGGGTTTCTATAAGGGTTTTGCCATAAGAGCTATGGTAAGGGTTGCCATACGGATTTCCATAAGAGTTGCTATAAGAGGCCTTGTAGACTTTGGAACTCGAACTCTCGCGTTTGGGGCTGAGAATACGGAGCCGAAGCTCGCAAGCATGGACTCTTGGGCGCTGCGGTAGGTCTTCGACTGGCCCCAAACCTTTTCTTCCGAATGACGCTGTCTTGCAGCTCCGGGTTCAGGGTTAAAAGTTTCAAGCCTCAACCCTGCGGGCCATAATGCCGACAGAGCCGGGAGATTGATCACTTCTTCAGTCCAACGTGCGGTAACGACTGCACCCCTTCTGGCTCACAAGTGCAGCAAGCAAAGCATATCGTCCGGAACGATCTGAAGGATGGCCGCGTTTGCTGGGGAGGCCAGATCGGAAGGCCGCTCTGCGCGCAGATCCAACTGAAGACCCTCGTCTGCTAGCTTCTTGGTCTCTGCAAGCGTCGCCTGCACCTGTTGGACAGTGGCCTGGACTTCCTGATCCTGGTTGAAAGCTGCGGCAAAGCCCAAGGCCTTGTGACCCCCAGGCGCTGTCAAGGCAGCCAGGACAACATCTCTGTCTCTTTGAAGCTGGGGAGGTGCGAACTCCAAGGCCCGCGGTCGAGACCGGACGGCCGTCAGAACCAACTCCCGGTCTCGGAGCTCTGCCGGTACATGCTGCAAGGCCATGCCCCGCCTCTCCACCGCTGCCAAGGCCAGCTGTCGATCCGCCTGGAGTTGGATCATCCGCTGCTCCAAGGCAAAGCCGTGCCAGCGCTGGGGTTTCAAGCAGAAGCTTGCCCTCACCGCTGCCCGCAGTCTGGCCTCCATCTGCCTAGGAAGGCCCCTCACGGGCAGCAGCCGCCGCTGCTCCATCCGCATTGGCACCAGGAGCATGGCATGGGCCACCCCGCCGTCCTTCACGCAGCTCCCTTTCAGAGCCAGCTCCTCCAATGCCAGCTCCCCTTTGAGGCGCCGCTCCCGGCTCGATGCAGCCGGGGAGGGACCGCCCCTGCCCGGCTCCTTCTTCTCAACCTCCTCATCCGTGGGATCCCGCGCATCACCGCTCATGGGAAAGCTGGGTATCCTGCGACTGTTGAAACCTAGAGCACGGAATGCATACAGTCATATGGCTTGCGTTCTGAGTTCTGACTGGTTGAGATGCTCAGTCTCCAACTGCTTCTTGGCTTTCTCCGCCTGGGGGAAGCCTACACTGCACATCTTGATCCCCTGCAGCATGCACAAGAATTGCACCATGAGCCATTCCCCTACTTTTGTTGCGCAGATCTCCTTGCGACCAAAGCCTCTACGATTTCGGCATGCCCTTGAGGGAACCCCTGTTGGCTGGCTAATATCGGGGCCTGAATAATTCGAATAGGGTTTGGGGTACAATTTCCTTTAATTACGATAAGGAGCACCCAAAACCCTATTCTAATTATTAAGGCCCCTACATCATGTCTAGCTCCTCCCAAGATCCACCAGAAGCTCTTTGCGTCCGGCTGAACACCCCACGAGAGCTTCGTCAGGGACCCCAACACCCAGTAAACCAACGCACCACACATCCAAGGGTTTTTTTCCCACCCGCTCAGCTGATCCAAGGGTTTAGGGTTTAGGGTTTGGGGTTTAAGGTTTTTTTTTCGGGTTTAGGGCTTAGGGTTTAACAAGGGAAAGCACGGAGAAATGAATGTCCGCTGCTCGAACAGTTCCACAGGTCCTGCAGCCGCGGGGTCAAAGCGGACAGCTTCCGCCGCCCCTGAGAATGCTGCGTGAGGAAGAGAGATCAGAATCGGCCCAGAAACCTTAATAACTTGACCGACTGACAGAAAAGCTCATTTTCTAATACGGGATGCAATGATTACATGCATGCATACCTTCCGTTCGTTCATACTTACCTAACTACCTGGCACACCTACCTCACCACCGGCCTGCCTGTCTACCTGCCCACCATCCTACCTACCAGCCTGCGAAACTGCTTCAGCTTTTTGTTCTGAACTCCGGAGGGCCCCCGCCTCTGCATGCAGCTGCGGCAGGGCATCGATGGCGGCACTTCGGACGGCTTGGCTCTCGTCTTCCAGGCGTCGGAAAAGCTCCCGCGGTACCTGGCAGTGCGCTTGGGCGGGGGAAGATGCGCGAGGACGGGGACCCTACCTATAGTCTCCATTGTAGTTCCTTTTTGGGGGTTACCTTTTGGGATCCTTAGTATAGAATTGGTTAAACCAAAAACAGGAACTACAATGGAGACTAGAAGTAGAATTGAGACAGGTCCTTGCAAGGCAGGAGGCCCTCATCATGGTGCATCCAAGCTGCACTCCTGCAGGCTCTGTCATCCTTCCTGGCCTAAGCACACGATCGTTCATGGTGGTCATGGGTCTCAAGGCCCGGGCACGGCGGCCGGCGATTTTGCTTGGTGTCCTCTGGTCCTAGTACGATAAGCTCTGCATGCTGAACTTGACTGGAAGTCAAGGGTGCAAGACAAACTCGGCTCTCTTGTCCCTGAGAGGCCGTCTTTTGAACCACAAGAGGCCCTGGACTTGCCCTAAACCCTGAACACGAAACCTTGAGCAGCTTGATTGTGCTGCCAAAAACTCCAAACTAAGGCTTTGGCCAAGAGGGAAACCGCAGAGACAGCAGCTGCGCGAACGACAGCATCTGCATCGTTCAGCCTCTCCTCAAAGGGACGCTGAGGCTGAGATCAAGCACTGGCCCACCTGCTGCTCAAAAAAACCCAGCCTTCGCCACAGCTAGGACAGCAGGGCTTTTCTCTGCCAGTTGTGCGAGCAGCTCCAAGGCAAAAGCGACGCCACTGGACTCAAAGCCCTTCAGGGTCACTGCTCACTGTGGCTTCACGAACAGCCAGCAGCCTGCGCTCGCGACATGCCCCACCCGCCTGCCGCAGCACCGCCTGAAGCAATCTTGAACTACGAGTGGGACTATGCCAAACAAGTCAAAGCCGAGCCACCAGCACGGCACCAGCGATTTCATCTTTGTCCGGCTTCTCCAGCCCTGAGAGCTGCTGCTTGGCAGCTTGTCCTGAGATGGCAGGCAGGTGGTGTCTGACGTCACTGCGCAGCGCGGTACAGGCAAGCGATGCGGCCGGAGCTAAACTCTAAACCCCTAAACCCCTAAACCCCTAAACCCCAAACCCTAAACTACCCTTAACCTTAAACCCTAAACCCTAAACCCTAAAACCCTTTTGCATCCAGGACTAAACCCTCAAGCCCGGCTAAAGCCGCTCTTTCCTTTTTGGGGGAGGGGAAACCTGGCAGCGACTGGCAGGTCGGCGGTCGGACAGAATCGGTCGGACTCGGAAACCTGCAAGCCCGGACACGCAAAAGACTAAGAATTGTTGTAAGGGGTTTAGGGGTTTGTTTGGGTTTAGGGTTTAGGGTTTTTCTTCCCTCTCGCATGGCTAAGGATCTACGCCCACAAGCGAGGTGGTTCAGGATACATCGACGACCGATGTAGATCCAGCCTGTGAAGTTGCCTAGCCCTAATTTTAAGCCCATAGCGAGCAACACAGGCCTACCGCAAAGAGCCCTCGTCACGCAAGTCCTCTCTACCAACTGAAAGCACTAGAACCATTTTACACGTGAGGGACAAGCAAGTGACCAGGGAGAGGCAGTCAGACAGGCTATCACAGACTCTACCTACCTCTACCTCCAAAGTCTGTACCAAGAGCACGTAGTCAGAGCCATGCATGCACAGGTGCATCATCCAGCAAAATGCCGACACCAATTCAGAATTACGAATTACAAACAGGGTTTAGGGTTTATTGTTTAGGGTCGAGGGGGATTAGGAAAGTTTAGGGGTTTAGGCTCGCCAGTTGACATGATGGAATCCAGTACACGAGGCACATGAGACCATCACCGACTTGCATGCAGTGGGACGAAATAACAGACAACTACCCGTAAAGACAAAGGTATAGGTCTATTCCCGCCGCCTTGTCTGCTTTGGAGTTGTGATGTATGGCCCAGAGGTCTTGGCAATTCACAGCTTCAGTGGGGTCACGGTGTGCCTTAACCCATCGGACTCGTCCGAGAGCAAGGTCACGGTCGTGCAAGATGCAGTCGCGAGCAGCAAATCCCGATCCGGATGTGAGTGCCACCTAGACTTTTGATAGCCATTTCTGAGAATACAATTTACATCAAATTTACATCCTTCACCACAGCCCCGTTGTCACAGTAATTACACACCCATGGTGCCATTCTGAGTGCCAGGTTCACAGCATGTAGTCCAGCATGGAACACAGTCTGTCGAGAGCCCATCAACACCCAGAGGAGATCAACTCATTCGCCGATCCTTGATCCTTTGCCTCTGTGACCGCCCATGTACACAACCTCGCAACTGGATTAGAGGAGTCCGAAAGCCGAGCCATCAGTGCAGAAAACAGGTTGCGTCTGTGAACCAAAAGCGTCCGGGATGTCTGGGTGGGACAGGCCATTCAGGGCCTTCTTGCAATCCACCAGCTGAAGCCTAGGCCTTAGGCCTCCCCAGGACCAGACTTTGAGGTCTATACAGAACCCTCATCCAAGCGGGATCCGTCCGAATGTGTCCGTGGCAGGGCAAGAGAAGCACCGAAAAGTGTCATTGGCACCACAAACATACATGTATCATCCACTTCATCGGCCATGTGGTCGCTTGTTGTTTGGAAACTTACCACCCAGTCGCACTTTTCGCATGAAAGCCTGCATATACGGGTCCTTATGAGGGGTTTAGGGGTTAGGGCTTTAGGGGTTTCGGGTTTAAGGTTTAGGGCCCGTTCAGAGGAGGGTTTAGGGTTTAAGGTTCAGGGCCCGTTCAGGGGGGGGCCCCCGGGGGGTGGAGGGTTTAGGGTTTAGGGTTTGGGGAGTTGTCCGGACTGCAGCTTCTGCATTTAGTTGACCCGGAGCCGAGAATCGGAGGCCCGCATCATGCCCGCCCAGGTCCAGGAACTGGCGCAGGAACGTCTCATCCCTCCAGAGCTCCTGTGCGGTTTAGGGTTTTAGGGTTTTTTCCCTCTCGCATGGCTGAGGATCTATGCCCACTAGCGAGGTTGGATTTGGGACCAATGTTCGAAGACTGTGCTAGACGAAGTTGATCAGCCCATGAAGGTTCCTAGCCCTAGTTAAAGCCAATAACCAGCATTTTAGGGTTTAGGGTTTAGGGTATGCAGGCCTGCCGCAAAAACTTCATTGAGCATGACGGGCATATGTGGTGGGACGGACTAGACTGATCTCTTGGGTTTTCACGTTCTGCGCTACCGATACAGAGATCTGAACATCGACCCATGCCCTCCCATGTCAACATGTCCTTTCACAGCTATGCAGAACCGATCCACCATTGCCAACGGTCGAATCACGAAAGGGCTACCGATCTGCATGACATGGATGGGGGTCTCGAAGACGGGAGCCTGCCTGTGGAACGTAGCGGAGCACGGACGGATGCCGCTTCACCACCGGCAAAACCTGAGGGAGGCGCCACTGTGCTGAGGACGCGAGAACCCCGGACCCGAAACCGCTGCTTCTGACCACAGACGAATCCAAACCTCCGTCGAACCAGGAGCTTCCTTGCGAAACATGAGATTCTTGACCCGAAACCCTCCTTGAAGGATTCAATATTCGGTCGCTTTGAACCGAGAAACCATCACGGCTTCGCCGCAGCGGTCCTGAAGGTGGAAAGGTAGCTGTGCACCTGCCAGGGCGAGTAGTGGGGTTTAAGGTCTCGATGCCCACACTTGCACAAGGCAGGCAAGGCTACCTACCGTCTCCGTTTTAGCGAATAGTTCGAACGGGGCTTGGCAGTTTTTGATACGTTTGCGAGGTACAGATGCCGACGAAGTAAAACTATCAGACTACTAATTCTGCCGAAACCTATGCTAGCCGAGTCTAGAGCCTAGGGTGCACCTGGCCAAGTGATGCGGGTCTCTCTCGGTTTTATGCCGTTCCCGCCGCCTGCTTCCAGATACTGTCGAATTTCCTTCACGGCACAACTCCGTGTGAAGGCACAAGTCTTGCACGCCACACGACCACATTCTGCACACCTTGAGGCTTGAAGCAATTCAGATTTGGACACGGATCATGCTGGTTGCAGCTGAACTTCTCTCCGGAAACAAAACAATGGATGCATCGGAGCAGCCGGACACAGTCTTGCATAAGACCAAAGAGCATTCGGCCGCAAACATCGCACCAAACCTCATATCAACCGAAGCCCAGTACATGTCGCACTGCGCACAAATGCCGGCACAGGGACTTCAGACGAGTGTCTGGAGAGATTGGCGTGATGAGGGCATCATCGTGAAGTCCAAGATCTCTTGGCAAAGCAGAGGCAGCTATCTCATCACCTCGGCAAGCAAATTGGGGCTGTGGAAACAGTGCTGCTGTCGCGATCGAACAACCGTTGCCGGCAAGGCGCTGAAATCGGCAAAGCCTGACAGGTGACGAAGGCACTTGCGAGGGGGGGGGGGGGGCC